CCTCTGACATGTTTTTAGTGGCCGCATTTAAGGTGTTCGGCGGGATATATTGTGCCCGTGACGTTATTGATGCCGGGAGAAGATCATTCCCCGTTTTGTAGAGACTCTCGACTATCAGGACGTCGAGCCCGCTCTGCTCGAGCTGCTCCAGGCTGTTGATCTCCCCCGGCGGGCTGGTGAGCTCCCTGAGCAGCATGCCCTGGTAGGCTGCCGCGAGCACCACGCTCATGAGCAGCCAGACGGCGGACAGCGGCCGGTGCGCAGTCCTGCCCGGGGGAGCCTGCGCCAGGAGCGGCGCCAGAGCCTGCAGGGGGGCGCCGGCCAGGGCGGCCAGGCGAGGCCGCCCCCGGCACGCCGAAGCTACGGCCAAGGCCGCCGTCATGCCGACCACGGCGAGCGCTGTGGCGACCCAGAGCGCCACCGAGAACTCGGCCGTCACCGCCTTCAGGAGGCTGGGGTGGGGGTCGAGGCCGGCTGGGACCACCACTAAGACTGAGTGCAAAGTCACAGCTTCGAATTGTAAATGTGGCTCAACATTTACTAAAAGCGGGAAGAAGGACATGAATGCCTCAATATTGCAGTTAGCTGCGCCTGCAAAAATGTTGTAAACATTTTTTGTATTGTGAGGAATCCAGTCCAACTGCACTACCGGTTGCACTCTTCCAACCATGCCTACCACAATTTCCTTATAAAGGCCAACTACAACTCCAAGTTCCGGGGGAGGTTCACTTGCGATCACTCGGATGGGGGATTTTCCTGGTCCACGTGGCTTCCACTCCAGGCACATCGGTTCAGGCAAAGTCCCTTTGGGCCACAAGCGAAGACCTGGTGAACAACGGCTGATTTCCTTCATATGAATGTCTTGCCACTTCTCCTGACAATTCGGACTAGTGACGGAGTACAGGAACGTGGTCCCGTCCGGCGTTGTGACGGCCAGGTTGAGAAGGACGCCGCACATCCATATATTGCTGCTTGCGGTGAGCTTTAGCACGTCCTGTGCGGACGGCGCCCACGTCCACAGAAGGACTTGCCTGTGCCTCAACCCCAAGGCGGCCGGTCGCTCCAACACAAAGTCGAGGAGCCCCTTCCCACTCCTCTTGACTACTAGTTGCAGGGTTCTGGACATAGTCATGGTCTGTCTCAACCTTGCGATCATATCGGCCAAGTTCTCGTCTGTAGCCGTTCGAAGGACTTTTGGCGTCCCGGGGGCAAGGTGACGGAGGTAGGAGAAGAGCGGGGCGACGTCGCCGTCAATGAGGAGTGTGCTTTGAGGCCGCAGGACGGCGGCGAGGTAGTCGGACATGCACTGAGCGCCGGCGGGGAGGCTCGTGTCCACGGCGGGCAGGGCGCCGTGTGCAGCGGCTGAGAGGAGCCCGACAAAGCCGAGCAAGCGTTGGTCGAACAGCTGCATGGTGGTGGCGACCGTCACGGACTGACTGCCCGACGTGGCCCAGGAATGTAGGCGTGAGCACGTCCGCGTACCCAAGTTAAGATAAACTCCGCGCTTGTAAGGATGTGCATCGACCACTCTGCGGACTGGCGGGCGTCCAGACAAACGCATGTGGTCGGTAATTGGCGCTTGCCAGTGAGGCAGCTTGATAAGTTCGTAAGAGGCGTTCGGGAAAAGTGTGTGAAAGGAGAGGCGAACATGTGTCGTCAGTCCGGCGCGAGGAGGGTATAATAACAGTGACAGGAAAATGTTTGGTAAATAAGTGTGTGGGCGTGTCAAGAAAAGGTACGAATAAAACTAGGCAAACGACTGCATAACTACCAAACTTCCAAAACTGTGTAGCGTGCGGGTTTGCGGGTACGCGGTCAATGTGAAAATCAAAAAATGTCCAAAATGCCCGTGTACTAGGGGATCATCCATAAGGTACGTCCGCTGTTTTTCGCCCTGAAAAACACCCCCCCCCCCC